AGAAAACACCCAGTCAGGATGTCCATAAAATCACGCCTTCTGTGCAAGCAATCAGGATGTCCATCAAATCACGCCTTCTGCACAAGCAGTGAGCAATGAAAGCTGTTTAATAGTTTTGCTTTACCTTAACTCAGACCTATGAAAACATTGAGTTACATCTGTAACTGTATCCAAACATTGTGACCCTCTTTTCTCCCTCTTGATCCCCTTTTAGCTTCTCCATAAAAATAATGGGTCCTGTGGACTCCAGTGTGGAAAATCCTGCTAAGAACACTTGTTTGGCGATGTCAATTTAATACTTCTTATTATTAGCAAATAGTAGTTGACTTTTAAATTACCATCTTTCTTTAATTACCCTGCAAATCTTCGACTACAACTTACTACAATTTCATGTCCTTACTTACCTTCTAATCAAAATTGTTTCTTCCCAGCAATTTTTAACCCATACAAGTGTATAACTGTAAATAAACTACATGCTTTTCTGTTTCTTTCACACAGCTACAATTCTAATAAGGAAACAACAAAGTTGACCTCTGCTTTACTAAGACACATTCAGGAGCATGGAAACACCACAGTTTATCAGTGGAGGACTGGCAAGATGCCTTTGGTATGTTGTTTTTTTCCTCAATATGCTCTCACAGTTGTTTGAGTCCTTTATTCAAGGCATAGACTACATGTAGCATCAGTATTTTTCAAGTAATGATCTCAGTAGAACTTACGGCATTTTCTTTTGTTGTTCTAGTCCAGCAATAAAATATTACTATGCTTTCCTAAATTGTCAAACAGAGAATGCATTAACCTACAAAAGCAATTTACAGAATAAAACGTAATTATTGGAACCCCAATGTGAAAGGAGGATGTTTCTTTGTGTTAAAACATTCAACTAATCAATTAAGAGTTGCAAGCAATACAGTACTGTAACCATGAACATTTTACAAAACGATTTATATCATGTAATGTTTGGATGGGCACTTGTTCAAGGCAAACACTGATTTGAGGCTAGGTGCTCATTGAATTTTCACCAGTTACAGACGTTACACCAAGTAGTAAGTCTAAATTGCAAGAAAGCAATATGTAATAACAAAACTCGAGAATAGATGTATCAAAGCAGAATTTTAACGGTTCATTGAAAGTTTCGTTAATAAACGAAAAAAACAAATTACTTCAGTCTGTTGGAAAGTCTCTTACAAAAGAATATTTAGCACTTGCCAATTTTAATCTTTTAGTTAGTAAGGGCAATTTTTTTGAGGGGGGGTAGGGGTGGGAGCTTGGGGCTGTTTTACGGCTGGCCAATTGATTTTGTTTATAATGCCCATTACGTGTCTGTATTCGCTGTGGGCCTTAAGAAATTACTGTACTTGTGAATGGCAAAAGCACAGCTTTCTTCCAAAAAAGGAATTTTTCCTAAGCATTAAATCAAACGATACATACAACAAAAATGAACTTTGAAAAACTGTTAGGCTAACACCATAGCCGCAATCTGATTTAACCTTCTTCCAGTTTATTCATTCGTGGCCCCTTTTGCATTTGCTGTTTCATTTATAACTTTGTGAGTTTTCCCCGACATATCAGTAAATGAGTTGTCGTCTCTTCTGTAAACTGTCTTCTAAGTCATCCGTGTTAGACCCGATTCCGGCCATCTTAATGAAAGAGTGTTATGACACCCGGCCTGCTATCTGTAGTTACTCAACACTGCGATTGTACCTACAGCCTTCAAAGAAGCTGTCGTTGACCCATACTGAAAAAGGACTCTCTAGATCATGAAGTATACAAGAACTTCAGACCTATTTCGAACCTAAGCTTCATTTCCAAAGCCACCGAGAAGGTTGTAGCTGTGCGTCTCAATTATCACCTTAAGGATGCAAGTCTACATGAGTTTTTTCAATCAGCATATAACAAAGGCCATAGCACTGAAACAGCGCTTACGCGAATACACAATGACATTCTACGTGCCATTGACGATGGAGAGTGTGTTATATTGGTGTTACTAGACCTCTCAGCGGCGTTCGACACGGTAGACCACGACGTTCTCATCACTAGGCTAAAACATCGTTTCGAAATAAGTGGGAAAGCCTTAGGATGCATGGATACAGCCTTATCTATCCGGAAGGACCCAGTTCGCAAAGATCGGAACTGAGCGCTCATCGAGCCGGAATCTCTTTTGTGGTGTTCCCCAGGGCTCAGTGCTAAGTTCCATCCTGTATTCCATGTACACCTCACCACTCACAGACATCATCAGTAAACACAACATGAACCATCATTTTTATGCTGATGATAGCCAAATTTATTTGTCTTTCAAGGCGAGTGCTGCTGGCAAACCGACTACATCCAAACTGCGCATTGAGTGATGCATTCACCATGTTAACAACTGGATGTCAGCCAATAAGTTGATGCCCAATCACACGCCCGTCATCCACCACAGCCCCCGCTAGAATCTATTCTTGTTTGCTTAGATGTGATCTACTCATCGAACTCAGCAAAGAACATCGGTGGGTGGTTTGACACTGTCATGTCTGTGGACAAACAAATAAGCAGCATATGTCAGTCTGCTTTCTACCACTTGCGCAACATTGCTCAAATCAGTAAACATATCTCTTTCCGTCATTGTGAAACTTTGATCCACGCATTCGTAACATCCAAGATTGACCACTGTAATATACTACTCTCAGGTCTTAAGCAGGATCACTAGTCCGAAAACTCCAGTATGTCCAGAATTCAGCAGCCCGACTTCTAACAGGCTCACGTAAACTCGAGCATATTACACCTGTGCTAAGAGATCTACATTGGTTACCCGTTCATGAGCGTATTCGTTTTAAAATTTTTGCTAATGACTTTTAAATGCCTTGATCAACTAGCGCCACTCTATCTAAGTGACCTCTTAATTCACTATAGACCATCAAGGACATTACGTTCGTCTGATAAAGAACTACTGATACAGCCCCGCTGCCATCTTAAAACATATGGGGAGCGAGCTTTCTCCTTTATTGCCCCAAAACTATAGAATACCCTCCCATTAAGTATAAAACGTTGTGAGTCAGCAGAATCTTTTAAATCCACTCTTAAGACGTACCTTTTTAGAAATTAATTTAAAATTGTAAGAATCATTAATTGATTTTTAATGTTACTTAGTTTTCTTTATCATTCACTGTTGTAAAGCGCTGTTGGTTCAGCAGAGAAACAGCGCTATATAAGAAGATTATTATTATTATTTTAACTTTTTGAGCAGTTTTTTTTATTTATGTTTCACTCAGTTTGGTGACAGTTCCGACTGTTTGAATTTTGATAAATTTTGTGACCCAGCTCCTTTACGTAATCACTTCAGTAAATTCAGGCAATTTTGTGTCAAAAAAGTTATTTGGTAAACCAGAGATAAATAATATACATCCTGCTCTTTGATGTACCCGTAAATAACATTGTGTTATTTAAATCAATTGGAGTAGTACACACATACTGTAGTAACAATCTTCTGTATTCCTTGCCGTTGATGTTATCCTTCTCATCAAATTGGGCTGTTATTTAAAATTCTTTACCTTGTTATCGTTCCCATAGGTTGTTGTTGCAGACAAAAGGCCTGAGTGTTCAGAAGTAAAAACAGAACAGAATAATGAGGAGGTGAGTTACTAAAGAGACTGTCTTCCCAGTGTAGAAACATAAATAAATAAGTAAAGGCATAACAGCCCTGCACAAGAGGTTTGTTATAATGACATTACGAGTCTTCATAACCAATGCTTAACTGACAAACGACCCGGCATAACATCGCGACTTAATTGACCTATCAGTTCAATAACCAGAGTTTAATATCATCGACTAACGTGATGCCACTCACTTTGACTCTGAAGATTACTACCGCACAGGTGAAACGACAGTCACTGTAAGGAACAACAGTCCTATTCAGACGTTCACCCGGACGATAATACTCAACCTACTTAGGTTTTTTACAATAGGCCATTTTACAGTTATGGATGGAAGCGAGGCTGAGGATGACCTTGTTTTGATACAAACCTTCCTGCTTTATCATGTAAATCAATTTATTCTTATGCTTACTAGTATTTTTCAAGAACAATTTCCATAACAAAGCAAAGAAGGTTTGTATCAAAACAAGGTCACCCTCACCCTCGCTTCCATCCATAACTGTAAAATGGCCTATTTGAAATTTTCACATGGAGCTGATACAACTATATAATCATGTTTAAAATAGATCCTTTACTATCTCTGTTATACAGTGTAGGCGGCCACTTCATACAAATCAGTCCATTTCCAAGTTCCAAAACTCCCACTTTCAAAACGAGGCTGCTGCAAAACCTTCTTTTGTGAAAACGAGTTTTAATTGAATGAGAACAAAAAATCATTTCCTTATCAGTAGCTTCAAACTTAGCCTCGCATTGAAACAGAAGCTTGGGGCAACTCGATAATGGCCTAATATCTGTTATGCTGGCCCTTGTTGCTAACGCAATATTTAATATTGCGGGCGACAAGATGTTATTACGCATGCGTGGCATGTATATAGCCAGCATTCGTTAGGACTTCCATTGAGAATGAATAGAATGCACAAAACGCAATTTTGATCATGCGCATTTGGACTTTCTATCACTCGTCATCTGAACGCGCGTGTTTTAACCATCTGCCACGTGAAACGTACGCAAGGCACAGCGTTTGAGCAAAAGCGTTTTGACCTTCGATCGTTGTCGCCCGTACTCCATAACCTTGTTTTATATTTTACTTCATCTCACAGATAGACTGGGGCATTGAGGCTGTTTCCAGCACCAATGATGACACTGGCAATATTGATTGGGGTGAGGGAGATGAGAAGACATCAGAGGGTATTGACTGGGGTGACAGTGGTGACGCTATAGACTGGGGTACTGACGGAGGGCAAACAAGCTCTGAGGAGGCCGTGATAGACTGGGGAGAGAATGATGTTACTGATGGAGGCGTCGCACTTGATAGTAGTGGAATTACACTGGAAGATTCTGGTCAAGGTAAGGAGCGTCGCTGTATAATGACAAACTTCTTCAAGGAACTGTGTCACGAAATTTATCAGTTCTGAACTTTGAACGGCTAGGAGAGAGGGAGGGGAAAGTGCCTAATCTCCTCTGCGTTTTCCTTCCTTTCCCCTCCCCTCTTGAGGCCTGTTAGGTAGGCTATCGTACGGTTAAAGTGGTTCGGAACACCACCCGCCAGTTATTCTCCGTAAGCTTCATTGGCTACCTGCCCTTGGGTAAACATATCTTTTTCTTAAAATTTCACTCATCACTTACAAAATTTTAAACGGTTTAGCAACCAAGTACTTGTACTTGTACTTGACTGATCCACTGATTTGTCATCAACCGTTTAGGTGTCTTCGTGCCCAATGCTACTAATAGAGACCTTACGATCAGACAACGGTGACGTCCTTGAAAACGTCGCTGAAAAATAGACTTCAGATCCTTTCAAACCATTTCGCGTTTATTCCACGACGCCCAGTAACTTAAAAGAAAGGAATTTATGTTGGAGCTGAAGAGAGAAGACCGCACATGAGTGCAGACAGACATGGTAGAATTTATCGCCTTGCCATTCTTGTCCTCAAGTAAACTTAAAATTTGGTCATTTCACGTCGTAGTTGTACAGGGACGGCCAAGAAATGTATAAAAAAGCGTGATGCACGTGCAGAATTGTTGTTTTGCTCATTAAACCTGTTGCTTTTATGACTTTGCCGTTGCCGTTCGTAAGGTACCACAGAACAGTGTTTAGCCGGCCTGACAATTGCGGTCGTCGCCAGCTTTTTCATCTTGCGCGCCAGCGCCTTAAAACAATCTTCCTCTTGATGTGAAGGACGTCCTTTTCTTTTCATCTATTAAAAACAGGTATTTTTAAATTTCGGGTTTTAAATCCTCCTTAAAGGAAGAACAGGGTGCAAAGAAAACTCTTCCCTACGATCTGAATGCCTGAAGCAGGCCAACCTCCCAATCACTATATAAAAATTATAAGAGGTAGATTCAGCTAAGACAACGAGACCTCACTATAGTGACAATGGCGCGTGCAATACTGAAAACCGAACTGTCCAATGACAGGGCGGCAAACTGAGCACCAGAATTAGCGCTCAGTCCTTTACGCGCGCTTTCGCGTTATCCTTTGATGATGTGTTGTCTATGCTAATTCTGACCAATTATAATTCACCTGTAACTATTATTGGGGATAGGCTTTTTTGAGCTAGCATGCAACCTTCGTGTTTTTCCATTCCATCCAGACAATAGTACAGTTCTATTAGAAACTAAACCCTTTATTTACTTGTTTTGTATCTGTTAGATGGAGAAGTTATCAGTGGACCAGATGCCGAGACATTAATGGATACAACTCAAACTCGAAATCTTCTGATTGATGAACTGTTGGAGGTACAGGCCGGCTTCATATCTATTGTTCTAAATTATTTTTTGGGTCTTTTGCTTTCTATAAAAGGACTATGGAGGGGTACGCATTTGACTCTCTTTACTTCCGAAAACTGCTATCCGTTGAACTGTTGCGAAGTCAGAGTTGGTCACTTACAGAGAGTAAGATACACTAGCCATTCCCTCCCTTCAATTGGTTTTGCACGCATAATTTTATTTTTCGTTCACGCTTTAAGAACGGCAGATACACTGCTTCAGTTGACGTAACTTTCTAGGGTTCCGACGACAGTTTGTGCGACGTACCTCTGGCGTTCGGTCGACAATGCTCTGGTCTTTGGGCGACTTGACAAGTTTTTTGCTTCCATCATACCTTTAACCTTGAAGAAGTTGTTTTAATAGCTTAAATGATCGACTTGTTTGCCCTGTAAAACACATCAATGATTAAGTCGGGGATTCAAGGAGGAATGACTTTAGAAAATATTTTTCGTCTTATTGTTTCCTAGGCAGTGCACTGACATGTGTTTATTTTTTATCAGCTTCAGGGATTTCTCCGTCAAAGACTAGTGGAAATGAAGAGCGATTCTGATGTTCTCTCTGCAAATCAGGTACCTTAAAGATGGTTAAGAACACTTGAAGTGTGTTATATAGTGATTCTATGTCATGCCTTTCTGTAGATAGCAGATCTCTTATGGTTTTTGAGCGGTTTTCTTTCAAATGCCGTAAAATTCCGAAAATAAGCCCTGGGGCTTATATTTTTCAAAGGCCCTTTTTGAGGGGCTTATTTTTGGAGGGGTTATATTCGGAGGGGCCTATCTACGGGGGAAATTTGCGTTTCAAAATTGATTGGGCTAGCCTTATAAATGGAAGGAAATTTACCGTTTTTGCTTTGTTCTAATTTGTATATGAGGGGAATTTCCTAGTACAAGCCTCCCGTGGGGCTTATATTTGGAGGGGCGATTTAACGGAAGGTGTTTTGCGTTACGAGCTTGGGGGGCTAATATTTGGAGGGGCTTATACATGGAGGGGCTTATTTTCGGAATTTTACGGTAACATGGTCAAATTTGAAAACGTGGATTCATTGCTTGCAAGTCTTCCTAAGCAGTCCACAGTAATTTCTATCCTGACCAGGCTATTGATACATTAGATTTCCATTGTTACAACTTGAAAGTATAAAAAGCTGGGTGTCAAACTTTGAAGTCGGCTTCACATGTGACGAACGTGATGCATATGAGTAAAATCTATTGTTCTTGATCATTAGTATCAGGTCTGGCACATGTGAGGAAGTTCGATGTTTGAGTCAAGCCAGGTAATAGTTAAAGGGGTATGTCACGGGTAAATTGCTGTTTTAGATCAATTCTATGCTTGTGTAGAGTTATCATGAAGATTTCAAACAAATTTTCTAAGGGAGCATTAACAATAATAGGCTGATTTAGCAACAGGACGGGAACGTCAGTTGACGACGGGAAAGCGCGCGGAAAGGACTAAACACGACTTCCGGCGCCCAATTTGCCGCTCTGCCATTGGTCAAGCCAGTTGTTTGATTTACGCGCGCCGTCGTCAACTGACGTTCCCGTTCTGTTGCTAAATCAGTCTAATATTTCATTGGTGTGTTTTCAGGCATTTCATTGAAACTTGATAACGTTGGCAAAATTTTTTTAAGTTTTAATCCTTCTCCTTCTCTACCAACCTTTACCACAGACGACAGTGAACAGTTTCAACGCCTAAATATAGTGTTTAGGCCTGTTTACATGGAGGTGGGAGACCCCAGGTAGGTGAGGTAACTCGCGGCTGGTCACCCCACCTATCATGTAAACGTGATCAAATGAAAATGAGAGATTATATGGAAAAGCGGTTTACCCCACCTAAGCGGGTTACCTAGCCTTCCTGGGGTCCCCCACCTCCATGTAAACAGGCCCTAAAATAACAAAAGTGGGCGAGAAAAGTTTAAGCTTTTTTTAAAAGAGAGCAAATAGCGTTACATAGCCTTAATCGCCTCTTTAATCTGAGGTCAATTTAATAAAACTTTTATAAGTAAGATTTACAACAATGGCTACACTTGTAAATTACACTCAGTTACACAATTAGGTGTAAAAAGATTCATACATTTTGTACCCGAATAAATTTTGTCTTCGGCAAATAAAGATTATTGATTTGTATTGTACCTATAAAAGTTTTTATTAAATTGACCCCTGGGTGTCACACTTGTATGTTCAACAGTATTAACATATAACAGCACCGTTTCTTTTCTTTTGAATTGTAATTCTTCTCCAATTTTCTCAGTTTAATTCTTGTGTTTAATTAGTTTGCTTCAGCGCCGCAGTTGATTCAGATGCAGTCTGTTGAGTCCGTGAAAGCCATGGAATCAGCTGTTACTGATGTGCTATCAACACTCACCTCAATGAAGATGCATAATCTGTTTTTACTGAAGACGTCACCCAGGTATTTCCCAGACCCCAGCTGTTGTCTGTCCATTGGATAATGCATTTCATCACTTTAGAATCATAAAGGAAACTAGGTCGAGTTAACTTGGGAAAAGACGAGTGGGACTGTTACTAGGGACAGGGAAACAAACTGACCAATAGCTGAACGGCGCGTCGCCAGTAACGATCCCAGAGGCCATTGCGGTGTTCCAGTCCCTTTCTCGTTTGTAAAGTAGCGAAATGGTTTCACTTATATATCTCCGCTGGATAGTCATTCATCTGGCCCCATTTGTTCAAAAGGTGGATAGCGCTATCCACTGGATAAATCTCTATCCACTGAAAAGCGGAATTGGTTTCCCGGATACTTATCTGCTGGATAGTGATTTATCCAATGGATAGCGCTATCCAACGTTTGAACAACCTGGGAATGGTGGACAGTTCTGTCCAACGTTTAAACAACCATGTCCAGGTCTCTAGGCTACGAGTATAACATCTTTTTATTTAACCGCACGCTCGCGTTATTCACCAACTCAACAGTTACCTTTTCTTCTCTGTATCACCAAACAAGAAAATGATTTCACCGTTAACCATCGTAAGATTTAGATTCAGTTAGAAGAGACACTAAAAGCTAACGCCTTTGGTTTTGCAAAAAAAAAATTCCAATTGGCAATTGGTTGTTTCAGATACTTGGACCGTTTAGCAGACTCATTGCAGCAGAAACTCAAAGTATCCGAGAAGTTAGTGGCATCCAGCAAGGTGATGGCTGAAAAACGATTGGCCGCTTCCAAAGAACAGATTGACTTGGAACCAAAACTGGAGGTTATTAGAAGCAAAACCAAGGAACTACAAGGACAGGTGTGTGTTCTCTTACACAATTTTTCACTGCTTTGGTTCCAAAACATAACTTTTGAAAAACCGTTGGTTTGTCTAGTCATAGGTGTTGTTTGCTTACATTCCATTCATTGAAAACTCTATCGTTGGAACCATTGGGAAACTTAAAAACAAAAAGGCAAGGACAACATCATTAAGGCATCATCATCACAATCATCTATAACGAGGACAAGAACAATCCCAATAGCACTTACGTCCAATAATCCACATATTCCGGACCTTGGGTACTACATATTACCCAATTATTTGTTATCGTTTCCCTTTGCTTTCATGTGTGATAGAACCGCTCCCGTTTAGGTCAGAATAAGCGCGGCGGGGCACTCCCAGATGAAAATGACAGGGATATTCTTCTAAGGCGTAGAAATTACTGGTTTTGGTGTCAGGGTGTTCAGGACGAAAAGAAAGAAAACAAACAAATGCCGTCATACTGCCTTGGAGTATGGTGTCCCCTAGGGGTCAAATAAAGCCTGAGTCAGGCCTACGATCGGCAGCGACAAAATTAGTTGAGACACTTCTCCCTAACGGGGTTTTCTTACGTTTTACTGACTTCAAAAGGGGAAAATAAAGCTTTTCTTCCCCCATCCCCTTCTTGCAATGTTGTGCCACTGTTCAAGCTACCTGTAGAAAACAACAAACACCCCAACTTTGAATGGAGGGGAGGGCGATTGTTCTCTGAAGTTACCCTATTTGAATACAATGTCTCAACAATTTTGTCGCCGTTTGGAGACTGGTCTTCTTTAGGAATCAAATAAAGCCTGAGCCAGGCCTAGATTGGTCGCTCTTGTGGGTTTGATTTTAATGTTTTAAAGACCACCCCGTCTGGGAGTCACATGGGAGTTCCCTTGGGATTAGGGTTGGGGGACACTGGTTATGTCGCAGTTGAATGTCATTAGCATAACTCGTCAATAAGAGCCTCAATGAGAAGTTATAGGCAATGGGCAAGGTTGACGTAATGGTTAGAGCAATCACCCGTCACCAATGTTGTCCGGATTCAAATCCCGGCGTCTACAACATGTGGGTTGAGTTTGCTGTAGGTTGTCTCCTTTGCTACTCCGGTTTGCTCCTGCAAATTCCAATTCGATCAGGAATCAGGTAGATGAAGAACCACGACGTGGATGCGCTACCTCTAAATCGGAGTTTATTTATTTATTTGTTATTTATTTATGAAGTTATTACACATAAGGTTTTTCTAAAATTATGATATTTTGGATTGTTGAGCTAAGTAAACACAAACTACCCGAAAAAAAATAGTGCTTCTTATTTTGGTTAACATTTATTTGCAATCGTACGAACAACCTAACACGTTGACCTTCATATCCTCTCATTCATAATTAAAAATATGTTTGATATTTCTCATTTTTTCCTTTTCAGATCGCTGGCGAAATTTCCAAGAAATACAAAAATAGACCAGTAAACATTATGGGCGAAATAAATACTATGTAGCAAATTATTTATTGAAGCGAAAATAGAAAACGACGGTAATAAATGAAATTTGTTTCTCGAAGAAATAATGTTTTTTTATATTAACTATGAGGAATTTTCCCAACTTCCCGTTAGGGGCGTTTCTGTCATTCGGGATTTCATCATGTAGATCATCAACACAGAGCAATACCTATTATTCTCAAATTCAGGTCACTTGATACGATGGCGGATTGATCCCTGGGAGAGTCACGTGGTAGGAAATGGCATAAGGGACTGGGGAGAATAACTGCGCGTTCCTGGGATACAACAATAAACAATGCTCGAAACTCCCCTCTGGGGGATTCTGAACTGTTTTTCATTTCATAGTATTGTCAGGTTTTTGAACACGGGACACCATTCATGACGGGAGAGATAGAGCGAATGTTGTGTTCTGATTGGCTTCCTGCCTTGTTCCCTCACCTGATGTATCTATGCTTTCGGTTTGTCTGCCGAAGACTACTTGACATCCAAGAGCGAAAGACACGGACATTCGAAAAGTTAGACAGGGAGTTTTTCGTTTTTCTCATAGAGAAAAGAGAAAGTTAAACACGAACGCAAATTTACTCTTCACGTAAAAACAATTTGAAAACCCCTGGCAATGCCTTAGAATGGTTCGGGGCTGTCAACGGATCAGTGAAAGCCATGGGTGTTGTGCTGTTAACGTACCTGATAAAGGGACTAAATCCTCTTGATGAGAGATTGACTCTCACAACCCAATACGTCTTACGATTAAACTCTTTATTATAAGGAGACTTACTCTCTCACAATATTATTCTTCTGTTAACTTCTAAGCTTTCTTCTTCAACTTAACCTTCATTGATCTTCAACAGTTCTGTACTTCTTTCTTTTTCATCTCTTTCTCTCTCTATAACTGCATACTCTTTTCTTTCTTCAGTTCCTTAGTAGCACGCTATTTATTTGTTTGCGTGGCTGATATGTTTGCCCGCTCTTAGTGATTAAATTAGAACTAAAAGCTTCCTACTGTTTAAAGCTAGTGTCAACATAAAATTAATCAGTTTCCTAGGCTAAATTACTTCTATGTCCATTTTAAGGATAAATGTGTTCCGAGGGACATCAAGTTTGGAGACAAGATGTCTCACTCTTAAAAAGCACACTGTTAATATTTACCTTTCTGCATGCAAAGCTTATTAGAGCTTATTAGTAAATTGGCAGAATTGGTTATTCATCATGTTTCATTGTTAAAGCCCATTGATCGGATATTTATCGAACTTCATTAGCTTTCCATATATCTTCAAAATCGGGGAGATAAGCCCAACAAATAGCTTTCAGAATCTCGTACACTGCTCGCAGTTTTTCATAGCTAATTACAACGTCACAACGAGAAGGCACGTTATACAAGATCACTGTGCGACCTAAAAATATGTATAACAGTACTTGTTATTTTTCTAGTGCAGTAAACTTCCACATTAATAACACCTTGATAAAACGGACAACAGCCTAATCCTTAGCACAAATTACAGATGTTTGACCAAACTGCCGATTGACTTTTTTACAGCCTGTTATTACTGACTCATTTAAGGTCACAACATCACAATTTTATTGTTCTAAATCTAGCTTAACCAACACACAGCGTCATCTCTCAACGGGTTACAACAGCTCCTGGTTACTAATAAAAAAATTTTCATCTCTCTTTTTTCGTCATATAAATTTGTCTTTTTGGCTGGATTCATTATTCAGTGGAAATTGATACTCAGAGTGCTCTGTCAAGACGATTCAAGCTCCTAAAATTATTCAAGGAACTAAATTTGGAACTCTTAAAAAGCCCATGTTCAGTTTATTTCATCTGATTATTTTTTTCATTCAATGGGAAAATAAAACGAACTATTAAGGGTACGACTTCCAGTGAGGAATATTTGAAATAATCGCGGCCTTCCCTCGAATAATCGCCCCCCAGCTATTATTCGAGGAAATACGGTATCGTGCTCGCATTGAAATCTAAACGTTCCCATTGTCCTTTTTTCAGCAAGAGGTAAGTGCTTGCTGACGTTTCCTATTCAATCTATTCATAATTTGCAAGTTCAATAAAAGACTTAATGGAAGAGACATCACTCTCTGTTTCGCAGAGATTTCACGCACGCTATCTTTTCCCTCTCCCAAGCCCTCCTGTCTGATCAGTTTTTGCTGCATCACATTGCAGACATGTAATTTAGTCCTACAGAATATTGCTGATATGTATGGAGGCAAAGAAGCAATGCACTTACTACCATTGCACTTCAGCTAGACAGAGAGGGGATAAAACGGGATGAGAAGATGGCGAGAGGGGCAGGGGGGGTTTCGCGATTATTCTAGTGAGGCGATGATTTTAAATATTCCCGTCAAAAAGTTGAATTATTTTTGAAAACTCGTAACGTGGGCGATAATTTAGAGAGGTTTACAAAAAAGGATGATATTGCAAAACCGCATCATAGTTACCACCTGCTTCTTTTAAAAGAAGATGGATTTCGCATGCGCGTCCTGTTTAAATAGTGTTATTTGCGTTGAACTTCCCGTTTTACAACTTAGAAAACATGACGATGATTTTTACAAAAACGGAAGTATTGGTCCAAAGTCATAGAGTCGTACAATCTAACTACTCATAAAAGATAGTTGTCATAATTATGCACGTGTAAAAATTGGTTTCAAAAGCTTTCGCTTCTTGAAACCTTTAACTGTTGTTATTGTTATCAACTGATATTGGATTGACAGAAAGATGACTGTTGCACTCTTCTTAACAAGTAAATTATTAATAAATTCAATAACAGGTATAAAATGGGTCTTTTGATCATGAATTAGTTGCTGAAAATACAAAGATTCAGTGATTTTTTGCACCGTCAGACCTAAAAAATATAACAATGGTGGCGGTCTTTTGGTGTCTCACTCGCTTTGTTCGTTCTCACTGCTGTTATGGTAGTTTCATCGGTAATGTCCGAATAGGACTTCTACGCAAGTGTTTTTGAAACTCAAATTGGTAAGTTAACGCCTATAATTAACTAAAAATTTCTAACCATCTTTATGATTCCCACACTTATGTCCAGGATCGATCTTGTTAGCAAAAATTTGCTAGCAAATTGCTTTCGCAACTGTCGCAAAAGAAATAATTGAGAAAAAATTATGTAAGAAAATCACTTACAAATATCGCAAAAATCGCAAAAATAACAAATCCAGCAAGAATCAATACTAAGAAAAAAAAAGAAACCAAGAAGGACCCCGAAATGTCCGCTAATATCGCAAAAGTAACAAGGATTTTTCTTGCTAGCTGAAAACACCCGTGACAAATATCGCAAAAATAACAAATCTAAAAAGAATCAAGACTTGGAAACAGAAGAAGCCAAGAAGGGCCCCGAAATGTCCGCAAATATCGCAAAAATCGCAAAAACAACAAGGATTTCTTTTTTGCTAGCTAAAAACACCCGTGACAAATATCGCAAAAATCGCAAAAATAAGAAATCTAACAAGAATCAAGACTTGGAAACAGAAGAAGCCAAGAAGGGCCCCGAATTGTCCCCAAATATCGCAAAAATTGCAAAAGTAACAAGGATTTTTCTTGCTATGTGAAAAGATTGAGCAACAAATATCGCAAAAATAGCAAGAATAACAAATTTAACGAAATACTTCACTTAGAAAGACAAAAAGTCAAGAAGGGCTTCGAGATGTCCGCAAATTTCGCAAAAATCGCAAAAGTAACAAGAATTTTTCATGCTATGCGAAAAGACTGAGCAACAAATATGGCAAAAATTGCAAGAATAACAAATTTCACAAAATTCTACACTTAGAAAGACAAAAGGCCAAGAAGGGCTTCGAGATGTCCGCAAATTTCGCAAAAATCGCAAAAGTAACAAGAATTTTTCTTACTATGTGAAAAGACTGAGCAACAAATATGGCAAAAATTGCAAGAATAACAAATTTCACAAAATTCTACACTTGGAAAGAGGAAAGCTCAAGAAGGGCTTCGAGATGTCCGCAAATTTCGCAACGTTCTTGTCCAGTAATTTTGTAATGCTTTCCATTTTTGCGAAAATTAAATCATCAGTTACAAACGTGACACTATTTATAATTACTGACAGTAGCAAAATGCTATAATATCAATCTGTGTATGCTTCGTTCTTCCATCAACATACAGCTACAATGCATAGAAAGGAGTGTCACTCACAGAAGGGGGCAAATTTTCAGCAATAAAAGGGGGTGGTTAACAATCGTTCCAAAATATCAAGAATAGCAGATTGAGTGAAAAGTAAACAGGTCATAAGATCCGCGCATTATACATGAATGTTGCGGTGCAATACCCATAGTTTTCTAAACAGGGATTGCCGAAAGTAACAAGAATTTTACTGCCATGTGAGACGATTTAGTACCAAATATGGCAAAATGCCACAAATTGCGCTTGAGTAACAAGAATAGGCAAGAATTGTTGAAGGGCAAGAAAGGGGCCAAGAACACCCGCGCATCACTGTTTTTCCCTAATAGTAATGCTTATCTTAACTGGGATAAGTTCTTGTCCAGTAATTTTGTAATGCTGTTCCATTTTCGCGAAAATGAAATCATCAGTTACAAACGTGGCACTTTTTATAATTACTGACAGTACCAATCTGTGTATGCTTCGTTCTTCCATCAACATACAGCTAGCTAGGATGGCAAGAAAAATCCTTGTTACTTTTGCGACTTTTGCGATATTTGCGGACATTTCGGGGCCCTTCTTGGCTTCTTTGCTTTTTAAGTCTGGAATTTTGTTACATTTGTTATTTTTGGGATATTTGCGATATTTGTCACGGGTATTTTTAACTCGCAAGAAAAATCCTTGTTACTTTTGCAATTTTTGCGATAATTGCGGACATTTCGGGGCCCTTCTTGGCTTCTTTGCTTTCTAAGTCTGGAATTTTGTTACATTTGTTATTTTTACGATATTTGCGATATTTGTCACGGGTGTTTTTATGTCGCAAGAAAAATATTTGTTACTTTTGCGATTTTTGCGATAATTGCGGACATTTCTGGGCCCTTCTTGGTTTCTTCTTTTTCTAGGT